ACCCGGGTCGAGGGCCAGCGCCCTGCGTAGTCTTCTCCAGTCAGAGCACAAAGAAGTGACACTGTGAATGGATGTGCCCAAATTACTGCCGCTTCTGCATGTAAACAGAGACTTGAGGAACAGACACGTTGGTCATCACCAGCTTGGCCCGCTGAGCTGATTCAAGGGTTATATGTTCCTTCCACATCATGTTCACCTCCGCATCAGGATCTGCGTCAATATCCACCCAAGATTCATCTCTAGGAGAACCATCAGCACGTCAGAGTTAAATGTCAAACCAGTCTTTTCGGCCTGCGTAAGCGCTTAAAGCATGTGCATGACTGACCGTGGCTCTGGGGAAAGTGAGAGGAACTGAAAGTAACATTTCTGAAGCAAATGTGAGGAATAAAATACAAGCGAGTTCCCCTGTGCATTAAGGAGCCATTATGTAAATGGATTTGCTGGGAGAAAAATGCCTCAACCACTGAGGAAGTGCAGGTACAGAGAAAAACTCACTCCTGCCTTTAGGATCCCATCAAACCCAGACCTTATATTTCCTCCTTATAATTTAAGCCACTTCACTCTTCACTGTTCGCATTGGGGCTGTTTGCTAGCCAGACAAGCCCTAGGCTTGTATTATAACTTGCTGTAAGCTTGAAAAACATGCTCAGAACCGAAAAAAATGAATTGGCTGAGTCGGTCATAGACAGCACCTGCAGAAGCCAACGCTGACGTATGCAGGTCGTCAGAGGAATTTCGGCTCCTTGATTTCACGCTTGGACATACTGCTGTGTACATCAGTGCGCACTAGGGGACATTTAGTGCACAGCTGCCGGGTCCACACAAGCAGTTCAGGTGCAGCTCGCACGAGCACTGCAGATTTACACCCCTAGCTTGCTGTGCAGCAAGTGCTCATGTAGACATGCCCAAACTCTCCCTCCTGGATGTTCACGCCTTTCAAATCCTTGCAGGTCAGCACCATATTCCCCGCCCCTTTGCTCGCGGCTCAGCCCAGTTAGACAGATTTAGCTCTTCCAACACCATCCCTCCATACTACTCCTTTCTGTTGTCTGAACTCCCTTTAATTCGTTTATATCCCTTCTGCCAGGCAGTTGCTTGGGACCCTTCAGCCAGGGCTTCAAAACCTTCTCCAGATTCCATGCATTGATACAAATGCAGCTCATACCTCCGTCCATGCCCAATGCCACTGTAATTGCATGGGAGAAAGAGATTTATGTATTTTAGGTCTTTAAAGCACATTAAGTGTTCGGAAGTTAATTGATATTTAATTAGCGTGACTTAAGCACTTTAATAAATCTGGAAAAATCAACATGCTCTTAGAAATGTGCTATTAAAAGTCAGCCCGACACATTCAAAATCGATGTTCAGCAGCGAAACACATCGATAGCACAACAGGAAAGTTGCGAGGTAAGAGCAGAGTTTTGGGTGGGAACCTCCAAAGGTTCTGCCTTCTTCGCTCGGGCTTTATGGAGGTAGCAGCTTCCTGAGTGCTCCACGCAGGTAGAAACAAAGTGCAGGCGCCTCCCCTCCCCTGGTCATTTCGCCTCCCCTTGCTGTGTTTATGGGCAGGCAGCAGCTCTCTGCTTGTATCTTGCCTGTAGCAGTGAAAATGGTGCCCTTACACTGAAACCCCCAGAAACAGAACATGGGGCCCTGGCTGACTGGGGCTAACCCCAGCTGAAGCAGGGGTTTGCATTCAGGGGAGGAAGCTGCCTGTAGGAGATGGAGATTCCTGTGAGCAGGGGTGCAGTAGGCAGAAAGAGGCGCCAGGGCCACCCAGAGCGGGGGCAAGTGGGGCAATTTGCCCCAGGCCCCACAGGGGCCCCCACGAGAATATAGCATTCTATAGTATTGCAACTTTTTTTTATGGAAGGGGCCCCCGAAATTGCTTTGCCCCGGGCCCCCTGAATCCTCTGGGCAGCCCCGAGAGGCACACAAGCAAAGGAAAGGCCTGTGTGTTTGTCAAACCCGCAGGGGACAGCAGGGGTAGGAGCACAGCAGCGTCTGAACAGAAGCGGTTCAGAATTCAGGAACTGGACTTAGCTTCTGAACATCTGTGTAGCTGCTTCTCTAAAAACGGTTCCAATCCTGGAGGTGCCGGAGGGCTGTGCTTCCTTTTCAAAAGGGGAACGTGAGCACTGCCCGGCTTGTTCCCTGCCAGCCTTCCATTGGCCAGTGCAACAGCTATCATTATGGAGGCCCCAATCCTGCCAAGATTTGCACCCGTGCTTGGCTTCCCGCACAGCGTGCAATCCCATGAATTCAAAGGAACCACTGCAAGTCTTTGCAGGGTCAGAGCATGAAATGCTGAATTCATGCAGAACTTCAGCCCAAGTTTCAGTCCATCTAATGCTATAGGGCTTCTGGTTCCTTCTTCCTGAGCCCAACCAGGGGCTCTCAAAGGGAGGAAGTCGATGCTTTGCTCTGCTATTTGGTTTGGTATTTTTAAGTGTTGCTATGGCAACTGTCCTAGACATATCTTAGTGCCATTTGTGTTTATTTGAGAGGGTTTTTTCGTTTTCCCTCCCAAAGGAGTAGCTGTCATTGCCCCTGACTCAGCTGCTAAGGGAAAAGCTGCAGTTTGGACTCTCGCCCACTGGCTAGGTAGGATTTCTTCCCTTTTAACAGCATTTTCTACTGGCTTTTGCCTGCCTGAGCGCTGCCGGAGCCCACTGAGAAGCATCGCAGCATGGCCTAGAATGCAGCCTGCAGCCGCCTTTCCTCGGGGCGGGGGGTGGGGGGGCTGCAGCATGAGGCTGGAAGTGGGGCAGAGGCAGGTGTTCACAGCTGGTGAACTCGAACAAGAAGCCATTTCAGCTCCTCTCTCAAAGGCCAGAGAAATGTCGCGCCTCATCCTCGTTCCCGCTCAGTGACTGTGCTTTTCATTTCAGGACAGAGACACACTGGATTTCAGAGGGTGTCCATGAGTCAGTGAGAAACATTGGTACATCATGCACTATACTCCGCACCTTTCAACTTCTGCAACAAATGAGGCGAGGGTCCTCCTACAACCAGCCTCCTTCACTACTAGATGCAGCCCCATAGCATGGTCTATACTGGGCACGGAATGAGAGGGGGCCCTATGGCATGTGATCGTGTGATTGGAGGCAGTTTTACGATGCACAGGCACAAGGGGGCTGAATGAAGGTGCCTGGGCAACCTTAAAGTGTGGCATTTCCTAACTTTTCAGGGCTTGTCTTTGCAAGCTTAATAATGGCCCTTTAACAGCGGCTCCTGTGCGTGTAAATTCCAATTAAAAAAAACAAACTTGAAAAAACCAGAAATTCCGTCATAGCGACACCCACCGGGGTCGTCAGCAGGGCTGGAACCATTAGATCCACCATGCAGCCCTCTGCCACTTGAGCGAACAGAGTGACTGACAGCAGTAGCAGGTTGCGGTGCTCTGAGGGAGAACACACACACACACACTTACTTCACAGGTATTTGCTGACAGCAGAGTAATGTCAAGACTCAGGGATTTTGGGTTCCATTCCAGGTTCTGGAAGGAAGTGTTCCTAGTGGTCACATCATGCTTCCACTCCTGTTCCCTCCAAACCTGACCCCTTCTGCCCCATCCCCTTAAGCCTGTCCCTCTCCTTATCCTCTCTCTCCCCAACGTTCAGGCTTTCCTGCCCTTTCCTCGGTCGCTCTGCAGTCTGTGAGCTTAGGCTGAGGCTTCAGACCACGTCCCCTTCACCGTTTCCTCTTCCCTTGCTTTGTGTAGTGTTGAGAGGCCTCTGGAGAAGAAAGCTAGTGACCTGCTACCAGGGCCGACGAGGGGGGGGGAAGCTGGTACAAATTACCGGGGCCCAGCAGTCCGGAAGGGGGCCCGGGGCCCGGCTTCCCCCCCCAGCCCCACTCGTCGGCCCTGTTTAGCCAGTCCGCCCTTGCTGGGGAGCCCGGAAAAAAATTTTCACCGGGGCCTGAACCCGCTCTCGGCGGCCCTGCCTGCAACCCAATCAAACGGTTATGTATATTTACAATGACAGCCACCATAATGGTCTATAAACCAAAGCAAACACCGTTCATGCTGAGGCTTTAAACCAATGCCAGCTAAGGGACGTGTGTGCACAGACATCTTCTAATCCAACATGATTTTTTTGCTTGAGCATCCTCTGCTGGCCAGTGGCTGCACTAGCCGTGGTGCTAGTGCCAGGAGGGAGCCGCTGAGCTATTCCTTCGGCTTGCTACAGGGTCTGCCGCTGTCCTGGGGCAGAGAGAGGGGAGAGTTCTGCCTTTGGAAGGACAGATCAGGTCAGAGCTGGCTTCAGGCACAGATTCCTGCAGCGGAGCAGACTGGGATAGCAATGTGCCTTAAAAGGAAATATCCATTCTGGGGAAAGGGCAACGGGCTTTAGTGCCGCTGAGGTTTGTGGAGGGCAAGGGAGGAGGAGAGGATGGTCCTGGGGAGGCCAAAAAAAAAGGGAGAGAGAGTCAGAAACAGGAGACAAAGTGGAAAGCAGGGCGGGGTGCAGGCTCCCAGCGGGGCGGGGCGCAGGGGGCAGGCTCCGAGCGGGGATGGGCACAGAGGGCAGGCTCCGAGTGGGTCAGGGCACATGCAGAGGGCAGGATCCCAGCGGGGCGGGGCGCATGGGGCAGGCTCCCAGCGGGGCAGGGCACAGAGGGCAGGCTCCCAGCGG